GTATGTATTTATGTATGCATGCAGGCATGTATGTATGTATATGTATGTATGTATGTATGTATGTATGTATGTATGTATGTATGTATGTATGTATGTATGTATGTATGTATGTATGTATGTATGTCTGACTAACTTTCTTTATTTCCTCTTCATTTTATTCTCCGTTATCTTTACATTGTCAGACTCGATCAGCATTTTACTATATTGCACTCGCGTGCTCATTTCATGTTGTATTCACGTGAATAAAGGAACTACTTTTTATTGTAAACAAACTGTTTGTTTCTAAATTAACTAATTCAGTTGTTTCATGGACTGCCACATGCCAGCTGTTTTTGCACATTCCACGTTAACTTTTTGATACAATGTTTTAGATTTAGGCCCAGGTCTTTGCAACTAATTTGCATGTGACTATGCATAAAATGTCTCTTTAAATGGAAGTAAGAATGGCAAAATATATGCACACAATTTTACGTCCTGATTCCCTCAAAATGTACTTTTTAGTTATGCAAATCCGAATCACATAAGACATGATATGTGTTTTCAAGCTTGATTACATATTTCGAAATTGTTTTGTAATTTCGACTACATTCCAAGTGCAATTACATTCTCCTTAACGCACTCAAAATGAAATAAACATTAAATTGTTTAGCGTCTTTTCGACAATTCCAAACGAAAGATTTCATATTTTTCCCACATTATGATTTGAGACATTAAATGACAGAGGATATACACACTTGCAGATGTCAACACGCTTCTCCCCCGGTTCAATCCGATGTATATTTCATGCAGAATTTGCACACACGCTGCTGAAATCATAATGTACTTAACCTAGATAAATAAAGTGCATAATTATTAAATTTCGTGGAATAGACAAAAAATCTAATCATGCCATATCAAATGGAAAAATTGTTGCAATGCGCATCACTCTAAATTTCAATTGTAAGCAGATCAAAGCGTCATTTTCATTCGAAGCTTATATTTTACGCGAAAAAGTTCAAATTTATATGGGAGCATTAATGTGCTTATTAAGAATGTTGTTGTGTCATGAATCGACGCTTGTTTATTTAGTTTGGAATGGGGCATAGATTAAGCTACTTTGTTTCTTGAAGTGTTATTTTGTTTATATAAATAAGCTTTAGGTAGAAGAAAAAACGAGCATATAAAAAGGTTACTGCATTTATATTGGAAATATGAACTAAAAAAATCTCGTTTATATTTTTTCATACAAATGTTGTAAACCATATATATATATATATATATATATATATATATATATATATATATATATATATATATATATATATATATATATATATATATATAAAGTTATTTGCTCGCTTTTTGCAGAACATTACGGAGTCAGGGAGGAAGAGACGGAATCAGGAGATATAGAAGACTACACAGATGAGTAGAACATAAGGACAGATGGAAATGTTTCATATTACGAATCAAGTGATGCGATTGGCTTTTAAAAGAATGAGCGGAAGAAGTGTACTTTGGAATTTTAAATTATTTCACCATTTAATTGTTCTTAAATTGTTATTTTTGTATATTCGGCATTGCTGACTATGGGCTCGGAGCTATACATCTATCTTTCACCAATTCAACTTCCAACCAAAATCGAGTCTGGGTAGGACTTCTACAATAATTGTAATGAAATGTTGGAAGCACCCCACCCCCAATTCCCACAATCAATTCCTCAGAATGGAGGCGACCTTCACAAACAGTAAATAGTTTACGTTATATGCCAAATAACATCACAAATGGGGTAATGAATATGTTTTGTAATATAAATATAAAGCAGAATATAAATCATCTATTTCACATAGTTTTACAAGGTTAGCCGAAGTCAATTTATTTAGCAGTGTGTTTTTTGCCTGAAAATATTCTTCCATTGTAATAACAGCACTAAAAGATTAGCAAAAACGTACCTTAAATTTCTAATATAAGAACTAATATAGAATTGATTTGTGTTATCAGAAAATGAAGTAAACCCACACATCTCAATTCTGATATATTATTAAGGCAGCGGAATAAAAATAATAACCTTTATGGGTTTCGAACCCGACATCTCTATTCTGAGCATCTGTGCTACATACAGTTTGTGTATGTGCCGTGACTGATCCTTGCTAACTAGTGTATGAAACCTCCATAGCATAAACAGTAAACAATATGCAATAAATAAAAACAAGTATAAATATATGTAATTAGTGTTGAAGATGCTGTGTAATTTACCTTTAAAATTAGGTTACTAGCTTTTAATCTATGGAACTTTTCCATTGATATCATGTGTTACCAGATATAAAGCTTTCAATAAACCTTTAAAGGACAAGCTGACCCAATATATCGCATTATATGCAATTGAAGAAATTGTGTTTTTCCAGCTAAGCAAAAACCCAGCTTATTGCACTGTAAATCAATCCTCGTTTAATTTTCATATTGCATAATAAAAACATATACACGTTTCAACTTAAATGTGGCCAAAACTCTCAAGGATTTATCACGAACATCTAAACGTATGCGAGAGCAATTTGAGTTTATATAAGATATTAGATGAAGCTGACAAATGAAAAAAACAATGTGTCTTCACAAATATTGTTCACTTCCAGATTTGAAGCTTTTACAATTCCTTGATCGAAAGAGACAAAGTTGGTTTAAACTTGTTAGATGTAAATGAACTATTGAAATAAAATATTGGCACATATCTAAGAAATGTCTTTGAAATTTACACTTTTCCTGGTAAAATCAAACGGAAATATAGTGCGTCTCATGGAATACATTATACTGAATGGTTAAGTTTTCAATGACCCTTTAAGTGGATGGCATCCTTTCAAAAAAGTTTCATAAGAAATTCAATATTGTGGAAAATATCTTTAACAAAAGTAAATATGCTGACCTTATTTCAAGAAAGAAGATAAATGATGTAAAGCTTGCTCGTAAACTTAAACTTTCTCCGACTACATTTGATGATCGGTTGTAGGCAACGTTAGGCAACGTTTCCATCGTAAACTTAAACAATCTCCGACTACATTTTGATGATCGGTTGTAGGCAACGTTAGGCAACGTTTCCATCGTAAACTTAAACAGTCTCTGACTACATTTGATGATCGGTTGTAGGCAACGTAAGGCAACGTTTCCAAACTATTACCGTTGACGTCATTTTCACGTCAAACTCATTGAAATTTATTGGTGTGGTATTCATTAAAGTTAAACAGTAAATATATACAGAATTCATTTATGGATGATGACATTTAGTTATGTCATTTAGTACTCTCTAAAGTTATTCTAAAGTTTTACACAATTTCAAAACAGCACGAGCTTTTCCAAAGGATTTTAATTATGCAAAGAATATTTAGGAATACTTTTCATTTAAAACTGCTATTTATTATATCAACGACTGTATTCGATATTTCGAATTTACAAGACCATGGTGTTTCTTATTGGCTAGTTTTATTTGATTTATCTGGCAATATTTCAAATACGGCATATTTTGTTTAATGGACACAAAATAGATAAAATAAAGTGAATTTCTAAGGCAAAAGACTATATGGTTTTGAAGTAGTCACATTAACAAATTAAACAAATTTTTAATTCAAGAATTATCTTTAGAATTTATATGATTCATTTGGTGAATAAATCCTAAACTCATGTACTTATTTCGATTAGGAGACAGTTCGAGAATGGAAAGGTCAGAAAATGTAATCTAGCTACTTTTTTAAAAAATACAGGAAGATTTTTTTATTGTTAAAGATAAACACAGTGTTATAACCCACTTACGTAATAATACTTTCTTAGAATTAATTAATATGATTTGTGTCTCTCAGATTTCGATAATATTCTGAAAAATAAAAACAAAACTTCTGTCTTATGGTGCTAACTAATACTAGTTTCGTTATCATGTTGAAGAATAAAGTCAGATAAGTTTATAATTCACTTTAATATTTTCCTGCTTGTTTGCCAACAAGGCTGATTTACCATTACTTGAAACAACACTTTGAATAATATTTGTATTGGTAGACTGGAAAACTTTGAATAATATTTGTATTGGTAGACTGGAAAATTTAGCATCAGTCAAACTATTCGACTGGTTACACTTCATCAATTATAGAGAACTGAAGTGACATCATGAAAAAAAATTGCGATGATTTCATATCAAAAGCAAACAACTTCTTTCTTTCAGTAAACTTAACAAAGCAGAAATCTCCAGTTCAATTGACACTTTTTTTGTACAGCATAAACAAAAAAGGTAGAAAACAAACTCCACAAAATTACGTACTCTAACCGAACTGTTGACTATCCCATATAGCAAGACACTGGTGATACGCCTAATTTGATAAAACAATGAAACATTCCATAAAAGATCCGAAGAGTTGTTAGAACATTGGATGAACCGAAATTACGACGAAGAGCTAATCACAGAGACGTCATAAAAGTCAAAACAAAGAAACCGCAGTGACCTAAAAGGAAAAGGTTGGTTGAATACCATTTATCCTGATATAACATCCAATCGCAAATCAGGTCAAATCATCCAGACACACTAGCCCATTTTGGATTTTGTAGCACACCAAAGTTAATGCCCCTAAACGGTCTAATAACAGCAGCCGCAGACCAAAGCAACCTCAGATAATTCTTAGAATAAAACTAACAACAAATACATGTTAAGACCATTCTGGCACTTTTGGTCACTATGGTGAATAAAAGTGCAAAACCTGTCAACGTGTGATGGAGACCAACACAACATCAAGACGAGTGTGAAATTTTTGTCTGTGATTGGATTTTGTAATGTAACTTTAACAATTTGTCAGTCATATCGCTACGATGTCTGCAGTATAATAGTTTATAGCGATGTATTGCACTGGGCCTCATACAACACACGCATAGCATCATGTCATAACCAATCAAATAATGCTGACACTAGACCGACTAGTCCTAGCACTAACCTCTTAATGCTGACGCCAAGCGAGGCAGCTGCAAGTACTATTTTTATTAGTCTCTGGGTATGACTCGGCCGGGGTTCGAACCTGTGACCTCCCGCATTCGAGGCGAACGCTAAAACCACTAGTGCACCGGATCGGTCCACATTGAAGAAAGATAAATTAACATATATGGTCCAAACAGAACGTGTAAAGTAAAATGTGTAAATAATATCACCACGTGTAAGATCTGCGACCATCAACATGCCGTGGAAACCGAAAGGTACAAAAGGGATCAATATTGGCAGATCTGACTGAATGACAAAAGATATAGACAGAAAACCGGAAAGAAAAGGAATCTTACTCGATGCACTGCATTTACAAAAATGAAGCTACGTGGCAAAACCAAGAATTGTTTTTAAAAGTGTACATATAAACACAAAAATCATCAATGTATAGCCCTCAGAATTTTTTAAATAAAAAATACGATAATTTTGCTCATTATTCACTCACTTGCTTATAATTAATACTGCTGTTTCTGGTTATTAAGAATCTTATTGCTGTTATGGAAAACAACTTCCCAGGATAAAATCTATGTTTGTAGCAAATTTGCTCTGAGAAAACTAAGGATGCTATGGTTCTTGTATTTTTTTACAAGTCAAAACCAATCAGGTTTCCATTTGTGTCATTTGAGTCAAAACCAGTAAGGGCCGATATCGAAGAATTTCATAAAATACTTCCATTAGACATAGCATCTGACATTCTGTAATATCAACGCTTTCTTTTGTGTTTATTATTTACCAAGACTTCTATTTTGTGTCTGCATTTGACAAATTGTGGCATTATCGTAATTAATCTGTTATACCCATTTTTCTACTGTTTCCGGTAGACTTCAAAAGAAATTTGATAGGCTATATGATTTTCATCCTTTTCCTTTTTTGTCTTTGTCTTCTTTGTCATCGAAAGCATTAGTATTCAGTCGTCATAATATCCTTTAGTCAGCTGATTATAAATTTTAATCAGCTTCACATTATACGTAACACGCATGCTGCAATAAAATTTTGTTTTTCCGCATATATGTGTAGAAGTCAATATTTTTTTTTTACAAAAATATTTTACGTGGAAGACATCATGGTTGAAACAGTTCAGGGAATAGATCCAAAAATTATAATTGGTATATTTGGGTCAAATGTACATTCTAAGCAGGGATAGAAGTAAAATAATGTACTCGGGCATGTGCTGCAGGTGAACATTCACGCAGTTTAATATAATATATGTCACAAGCATAAAGTCAATTAATCAACTGTACAATCAAAATTTCAATTATTTAATTATTTTCTTCGAATATAAAGAATCTACGCAAATGATCTCCTCGTGTGTCTGACATGGATCGTTAACAGTGAGACATCAATGATTTAAATAAAATGTCAAACTCGTTTAATTTTGAGTAGTAATAAACAATTGAAGCCAGCCAAAACTTAAGTACTATATCTAATTAGCAAACTCTCTCATATTTTTAGATTTTAACATATGATGTGTGCCGTTAAAATACAGACATTTATCGATGTGTAAATTTTACCTAATCACTCACAAAGTAAATAAAGTCTGAAGGACTTTATGTAAACTTTATGAGTGATTAGGTAAATTTTACACAGCGATACATACCCAACCATGATCATTTAATCCTTATAATTTCAATTTACTCTTTCCAACATCAGATCAGCATATGTAATCAACAAAACATTCACTTTTACGCACTCGAAGTTTTCTTTTATTAACCTCTTAACTGTGATATAATACAGAGCCCTATCTTCGCTAGCAAAGATTAATTGATTCTTTATACAGCGATGCGGTGTAGAATGTCATAGAGGGTCATGCCAGTGATATATTGTTATGATCATTATATTAATATTTAATAAATTGGTTGTTGCGGTTAAACCAGAAATATTCATTTTTATAGAACAAAACAACAGAATTACGCTTGCGTATGGCACGTGTTGTTATAGCAACGTCGTTGTTACTTTCTACGCATTTCGATCGTTCAAAAGCAAAATTGTATCCATTTTTAGTGAGACCTATTTATTGACATGACCCTTACCTTTAATAACTGCTGCTGTAACATGTTGTCGAGGTGAAATACAATAATTTCGAAAGATTATCATCTAAAGCCTTAATATGCCTTCTTTGGTAAAACGGGTGAGTGTTGGAGTGCAGGAAGGTCTATGCAATTACATTGTTCTAACTTCGAATGGTCGATTTTAATCTGTGGCTTGTTATTTTTGACTGAAGATCACAGGAAGGCATGGATAGGAGCTTGTTGTTATTATTATTAGGGTGTAAAGCGTTGATATAGATAAAACTTCAAATTAAATGATCGAGACACATGGAAACAAAAATAGTTCGCAGAATTTATCGATGTGTTAAAAAAAATTCCGGATCAGTATCACGTGACCATTTAGATCTAATAAAAACGTAGAAAACGCAGTCAATTCATAAACATTTTGGAATTATTTCAGAGTAATCTACAATTTGTGTGCTTCAATCTGTTGTATGCCACAGCAACGTACATGTAATGCAATGAGTTGCATTTTCCTTGTCTGTCCATCTCCTCCCTGGTTAGCTGCCTTTGTTTACTGGGAGAGGTACTTAACTCACATTTTTGGCATGCATTTGCTATTAATTTAAAACCAGTGCCGTCTTAACAACATTGTAGGATTTGGGCAACGAAATGCGCTGAGCTTTCTACCGGCCCTATTGTTCATTAATAATATGGGCAACATGATGACCTTAGAAGCGTGGGTCCGATGCACCCATGCCCAACTACGGCACTGTTTGAAACCATTCAAGAACAATCAGCAACTCTTTCATTATAAATTTAGGTCTGTTTGGAGTTGAAACACTTAATAATCATCAATACAAGTGCTTTGAAAATATAAATTAAAATATCTCACTCTACCCAAAAAGCATTTCTTTATAATCAGTGAATCATTCAAAATAATTAAAGACCTTTGCATAACGGAAGCACATAACTTAAAGGAAACACCCTTGAGATGAAACCAAGTAATTCGATTGTCACTTTTGCGTTATGGGTGTAGTTAATTTTAATCCGGCTCATATCTAGATTAAAACATTGATATGGTAGAGAAAGAGGTTGAACTTCTGATACCTCACTTTGCTCCTGCCAAGAACGAACCTACAGGCAGGATGACACATTTCTGAATGATAGCCATTGTTTGATAAATGGAGATATTTAATCGCTGAATCAAGGCAGCGATAGTATGCAATTTGCATCTTGGGTGGACGCGTTCGAAATAGAATATCTACTGCATAACTCAGTAAATCAAGTAATAACGAGTTTGCATAAGAGATGTCATACATTTTTTTTTACACTCCTAGAACACGTCAGCTAAAATGTATATTCTGTTATACATGACAGTACCTGTTAACTATATAGTTTATTTAATCCATCTCATCCATTAATAATGATCATGAACTAGAGGTTTTAATTAAGCATTGCAAATAGCCTGCTTAATATAATTTACTCACTAGGGTAGTACACACAGGAACTTGGTTAATGAAACCAAAGTTTGAAAATAATAGTTATTAAGGGGCCATAACTCCTCTAAATGACGATGTGTAATGTCAACATTTGAATGCATCCGATGTCTCAGGAATAAAGTGCTGCAAGCCTAATTTGGCAAAATTCCAAGTGTTACATATGTGTAATCAAATTGCTTGCGTGTAAATTTCAAAATTCTTTTTTTTTAATTTTATTTCTATTTCATTACATTTTATTGTAATGATTATTGAAATGATTCAAAATTCTTCGATATATTCTTTTAGCAAATGATCTTTATTTAAGACGTAAAATTATTAAATGAGAATTATTTTAGTTACCCTAAATATCTTGGCCTGGCAAGTGCGTAAACATGCAGTTTAAATGATTGGTCATTATCAAAGCCATACTTTCTTTGCGTGATAATCATTTGTAAACAACGTTTCTTTATGATTTGTTTTAAAGTGCTGCTATACTGACGTACGTGCTGGATTTCTTGTAGTAAGTGACCACCTGACCAATCTCATCAGACTTGAGATGATGTTTTGGGGATTTAAATAAGCATTCTTAATATTCTTCTAGCAGATTCTGTTTTACATCTTTTAGGAACAAGGTTTTATATGTATTTGTTGCCAGATTATTTGTTTTTCATCTGATTTATGGATTTAATAATTTATCCTCCATGAAACTCAACCAGTTGACTACTATCTTATAAAAAGTTTTGAAAGATATTCATATAAATTTATTCTAGGATTATTCGGAAATAAAAACTGTGATTAAAGTGAGGAATTATTTATATTCGTACATTGGACAACACCTGACGTTATCGCCTTCCATATGTTTACGTCGTCGAGATTCTCTACTGGATTCTAATAGAACTATTTAGTGAGAGGACTTGTGATTTCATTGTTAGAATCAAAGTTTGGATTATATTCACAAACTGTAAGTAATAGTTACCAATTATTAGATTGATTTCTAGGGGAAAAAATATTTTGTTAAATTAAACAAAGCTTGTTGACTTTCACTCTTTTCTTCTGTTGCATTTGTACAATCCTACACGTAACACCAATATTTCTAGGCAAACTAATGATGCAAACAGAACAATGAAAGATGAAAGATCAGAATTAATTATTGTCAGAAGTAATGCAATGGAATGCAAGAAATCACACACGCTCTTCTAAATGATGGCATACCAATGAAAATAGAACTCTTTCAAAGGCATAACAATGATGTATAATTAGCACAGCATTGCAAAATATCTTTTGAAATTGATAATTTTTCTCATTTTTCCCCAAGATGTGAGCGTGCGTCCCTACCCATTCAGTGACCTATATTATGGTTGAAGTGCTTTACGCTTCGAAAGACCTTATCTGTTGCGTTGCGTAGTGGATAATATAACATTTCAAAATAGCCAGATATTTTATATTTATATCTTTATCTCGAAAATTTTTTGTTTGTTTTTTTTTCTCACTCATAAGCTTGCACAGTGTGAGAAGGTCGAGCACCTGTCACTCTCATGACTCATATAGTGTTTCTCAGTGTTTAGTCTTATATCATAATGTATGAAAAGACCAACTTTTGACGTTAACCGCATTTTCTCTAAA